AGGTCTTATGCCATCTGAAGTGCTACTCGAGTCCGCCGGAATAGACTGGAAGCCATCAGCACCACCCGTCTGATTTTCTTCCTCCCACCCCCAAAAAATTCAGATCTTTTTTTTCTTATTCTAGATAGATTGGCAATGTTTTGCAGCCATTATACTAATAGATTTTTATTTTTATTTTTTTGCTAATATTTGAATTTGCAAAGTTTTTAAGGTTTTTATTGTCTGCTTAACAAGACTTGGTGCTGCTTTGTGTAATGAACATTCAACTGGCAGCTTGAATATATGTTAGCAACGGCATAGTGGAAAAGATTTTCATACTTTCACGTTTTCTGTCATGATTTGCTTAATCAAATAGGTAGATTGAGCAGGGAATTTGGTTTAATATTGGATAATGTTTAGGGCGGAAAGGAAGCTAAAATCCATGTTGTGTAGTGAATTTCTGTTGATTAATTTGAATTTCAGGCCTCTGCGGGCGAGGATGACGACGATGATGATGTGGATGTGTTTGGTGAGGAGACTGAGGAAGAGAAGAAGGAAGAACGTGCTGCAACTGTGAAGGCATCTGGAAGGAAGAAAGAGAGTGAGTTCGCAGTGTGTGTGTGTGTGCAAATTCTTATAAAAAATAATACACAAAGACTCCTAATTATGAGTGAACTAAAGCTAGGGAAAATCAGAAAATAATTGGAGTTTCATAATCATATCTAATTTAAGTTTCCACTTCATCTATAACCTATTTTAATCTGACATATCAAATCATTTCAACGTTATTTACTTCATTTTTATCATTCTCTTATATTATCAAAAAAAATGTACATATCTATCATTGTACTCATATTTTTTTAGGTGGGAAGTCATCAGTCCTGATGGATGTAAAACCATGGGATGACGAGACAGAGATGAAAAAGCTTGAGGAAGCTGTTAGAGGTGTGCAGATGGATGGTTTGCTATGGGGAGCATGTAAGTTTTTCTCTTCCTTTAGGAATTAATGGTGGTCGTGATGGCTATTGTAACCGAGCTTAAGTCTTACCCTGTGCAAGACTTTCCGAATTTGGCTTTGATTCTTTTAAGTGAACATGATGTAGTACCCACTGTGCCTCCAGCATGCACTTTCTTGGGAGAAAAAATCTATCAGGGTGAAATTGTAAAATTAGATATTTATTTTCTAATGTAGTTAATTACATTACAAGAACAACTTACAAAATATATCGCTTTGGTTGCAGCTAAACTCGTAGCTGTTGGATATGGTATCAAGAAGCTTCAGATTATGCTTACCATTGTGGATGATTTGGTATCTGTTGATACATTAATTGAAGAGCATCTCACAGTAGAACCAATAAATGAGTATGTCCAGAGTTGTGATATTGTCGCCTTCAATAAAATATGTAAGTGACTCGAGGATTTGTTTTGTCATTTTGATCTTAGAATAAGTATTATGCAGTTGCTGATTAGAAAAGGTCAAAACAGTAAGTAATCATCTCGTAAGAGGATCTAAGTTAGACACTTGTGGATGCCTTGCTTATGTATTAGTCAATAATCAATTCCTAGTTTTTTGGCGTATCTAATTGGTGACGACTGTTTTGCAGAATTACACTGATTCATTCACCGTGGAATGTCCAGCCAAAAAGTTTTGAGGTTTCCATTTCCATTTTACGGCTATGAAATTTTCAGATATGTGCAATTTTGAATGGTTGAGACTTGGCAACATAACCAATCTCATTGTCATTCTACATCAAATTATTGTTTTGCTACCTTTTTTAGAACATTCATTTAGTACTTGAACTCCTTGTTTGGAAGGTATTATCATGATTTGCCTGTGTCATGGACATGGAACGAGTATGTTAATTTCTGGTAAGCAGAAACATCACTTCACAAGGCTTTACTAAATTTTTGCATGATTGGACAGCCAGTTGGTGTAACATAGAAGAGAGGAGGAACAATCAACTTCAACATTCATTGGTTATAGCTAATGCACTGCGTGGATCTTAGTCTGGTTTCGTAAGAAAGGTTGAATAAATCTTCTCATGGCTCTTGGGGTTTGGTTCCAAGACGATTTATCCCCGTATTATCAACATGACTAATAATGCATAATCCCAAAACTTTAAATGAAATTGTGCTCATCAATTTCACTGTGTGGACTCTAATGAAACTTGAATTACGAGATCGTTCACTCTACAATTAGGGGGTGTCTGGCATTGATTTTATCCAAATTAGTAGCATATTTTTGACCCTTTTTTCAATTGTTGGCCTCCACACCTCACATGCGGTCAAATGTTGCGGCTATAGGTGTGTGCAACAGTTGAGATTTCAATTAAAATTTATCAATTAATTACCTCTAGACATAGTTCTAATATGTGACTTGATTGATATTAATTTTTTAGAATAAATTGTGATTAAGTGATTTTTTTTTTTTTTTAGAGGAAAATGTGATTAAAAAAGAGGAACAAATTATGAATTTACGCATTAAAATTTATTTTATTGGGTCTAACCCTGCGTGAACAATCTAAAATGTCTTTATCACTTGTTTCCTAGATATTTGTTACAATATAATTATCTTAAAAACTAGTGGAGATCGTGCGTTGTACGATTACCGTTATAATTTTAAAAAGGATTTTTGGTAAAAGGACATTATTTTACAACATCTAAATATTTACCATTAGTTTTACAAACTCTACAATTAGAGACCACACAGGAGTTGATATCATATCATGCAAAATTCATATTTTTTCCAAAGATAGTCTTGGATCATTGTGTTCCAATTTTTTCTTCTCATCTAAATTCGAAGAAATATTTATAAGTAATTGAGGTTTTCTAGAAGCTAACTAATGCATACTGCAATATCTTATGGACGCAATCCACTCTCTCACTTTTCCAAATTCTTAACTCACCTATACTCGGTGACTCTCTTTCGAACGTATCAATTGACAGCATGTACGATAAAGAATATTCATATGGATGCAACATATAAAAATTAGCATTTGATCAAAATGACTCATGCTAAAAATTATGAATTTCAGTCTTATAATCATGATAGGATGACTGATAAAATACCATCTAAATGTTTAAAAACCAAATGCAAAATCTATTAAATAATAAGTGCATTGCAAGCATTTCTATAAGAACATTATATTGGAAATAGAATTATTAAAGTTATTGCAATGATCAAATGCTTCAAATTAAAGAAAAGATAAAAGCACCATCAAATACCTCTATATTGGACTGAGAGGATGAGATGGAATTTGGACAAATGAAGCTGAAAGGTTGAATGACAAAATATAGATGTATAACTATTTGATGGAGGATTAATTTTCAGATTAAATTTGGGTCTTGCGGCATTCTTCAGATTGATATTGTGAATAAATGAAGAGAATGATGAGGAAACCTCTCTACTATCATCGAGAACGAAAACCTCCTCATGCTCAAACGGAGACATGGTATCAGCATCGGTATTCAACTAAGCATCTATCAAGAAGAGAGACATGAATACCACCAACACACAGTATGTAACCAAATTTAACTCAAATACCAAATTCATAATTAAATGTATGTACGATAAAGAATATTTATATGGATGCAACATATGAAAATTAACATTTGATCAAAATGACTCATGCTAAAAATAAATAAAAAGCATGAGCAGAAGATAAATAACACCAAACACCAAGCTAAATTCCAAGTAAACCGAGAAAAAAAAAGTAAAAATCATAGCACTCTCCTCAAACAAATGACAATTAACCAAATCGCATAAAAAATGAATCAGCAATTAACTCATCGTCAAGTTACAAATCTAAAGGTGGCAAAAACGATAACCTGTTATTATCAAAGTATAGTTTCTCAAGAAGAGGAAGTTGAGTTATCTCCACTGGCAATGCCTGAGATAACAAATAAACAAGATTAAATATATTTAATCACGTGTGGAACTACTTATAGTATTACTCTTTAATAAGTTTCAGTGGAACTGGTTCCCTGAAGATATAAATTAAGCAACCATCTGTTCATTAAGACCACCCAAGTCAAATTAACACCAAAGAGGCACAAAATAAATTCATTTCCGACTGGTAGACATTGGTTAATTCCAAAATAAGCCAGTGACTTGGTTGCATAGTAAAACCAATTGGTAAACCGTTATTTACACATGATACGTAATATGGCAGTGAAGGGCCCACCATGACACTACGTTTAACCACAAGGCAGAGCAATGCAAAATGAATTTAGTAACAGGAACTATGCAAGTGTCCTCAACGAAATAAATAAATAAATAAAAATAATAATTAAATGGCACTTCAAAGCCAATAACTTCACCTATCTCAGATGTATGTCCATTATTAGTTAAAAAGGCAATATTAACTTCCGGCCCACAAGAAGATGACTAAAGAAAGCGGAAGCATTAGAAATCATAGATTGTGGAAGATAATTGCTGATTTTATTTTTTGTTTAAGAAACAAAAATGACGTTAGTATGTCTTTATTTCACTTAATAGAAAGATATAAAAAAAAAATTAGAACCATAAGAGCAGCAGATAATATTATCAATGATTCAGCTCATAGTAGAAACCTCATTTGCCTATATAATGGTTGCCTTTGATTATAATCATAAAATCAACATAGCGAATGTTAATTGAATCACATGATATATGTGCGAACGTAAATTAATAAGAAATCTACAGAATGATGCCATTTATTTGTTTAGCCATTATGATGAAACTAAAATCAAGACAAAATAATTATCTCATCATAGTATAGATAAATGAGAAGTGGTTACTGTGTATTTGCACTGCATGTGAATTAATGAGAACATGATGGGCAGCTCCCTAGACTAAAAAACATATAAATGATAAAAATGCGAATTAATAGCTCTATCTCACTCTTCTATAATTTCTTGTGTAGTTCTCAAAATTTGAGACATTTCAACAAACTACGTTCACATTTCAGGAAGATCCTGCATAGCAATAACCATTTTTTATACCACATAAGCTTCTTTACAAAAAAGAATAAGATCAGATGGACATATATTTATTGATAATGAGGACCAAAGATTACCCCTTGAAACAATGAAATCTGTGTTAGATATAATCTTAAAAACGGAGTTTCATTTGTACCTGAAAAATGAAAAAAAATGAAAACGACAGCATTAGTTAAATAAAAAAAGGATAGGATTTAAATACATAATTATTAATATTTACTAATCAATGATGTAATGTTTATGTAATTGATAAATAATTACACATGTCTATAGCATGGTCTATAAATAAACATCATCATAGTTTTATGAAAGCTGTTTGAGATAATTTTGATTCTAAGATGACGATTCAACATTTTCCTCATCTTGCACTGCTTCAATAGAGAGAACATTAAACTGCCAATATTTTTTCTCCTTTAGTTTCTCTAGATTTACATAAACTTGAATCTTCCAATTTTTTTTTTTTAATAATTTCTCTGCAACGCTTTTAACATATGGTCGATTTTCTTACAAAATAAATATTTAATAGGTTTACATAATTAATAAAAAATCGAATTATTTTTTAAATAACTTATTATAATAAAAATCAAGTTTTGAAGAAAAATTTAAGAGATGCCTCTCCAGTATGTTCCATCAATTCAATTGTTGAACAACCAAGTACATGTTCTGCTTCTTCACCAAACATAGTAGCAGGCTAGCAGCTACTATGCACACACTCAGAGAGAGAGAGAGAGAGAGGAAGCAACTCTCATTCCACCATGTTTAATTGGGTTTGATGGTCTTCCTCTCCAATCAACAGAAGTCTCTTAACCAAGTGATTGTTCCACTTTTATTTCATCAAATCTTAAACGGCGAAGACAATGGATTTATAATTAAGAGGATAACTCTAGTTAACTTAACTTTAGAAAAACTATGTAGTGGAAGTGGCATTACCAATGCCCTATTTATTTGAAATTTTCCAATTTTGAGGTCGAAATTTATTTTAAGGGGTATGATTTTGTAACACCACGTGCTTCATTCGCGTAATTATTATGTCTGTCTATATTAATCTCATCAATGTTACATTTATTATTTAATTAATATAATTATATTTGTGTAGACTAACTATGTTGTCACATTGGATTAATGTACCTTGAACGCGCAAGACGATTGACGTGCCTAGTAATTCTAAATTTAACATGCATTTAATTCTATTAAATTTACATTAAGCTGTATGATAATTTTATTATATTGTACGCTTACAATTTGATTAACAATCTTGACTCGTACATGTAATCTTTCATGGTATCTACATATTTGGTAAATTTATTCTAAGATAATTTGATTGACATCAATTCCGTAGTAAGAATAGATGAGGGAAACAAATCAGAAGGTTAATTATTGATTACTGATTAGGCAAGAATTGGGTAAATTAAAATGGTTAAGTCAAATTACCATAATCACGGCCCAAAATTTCTTGTTCTTAAAGGTAAGAATTGAGACCTAGGGTTACACTTCCGATAAAACAAAAATGATTGCATATCCTTTTTCCAAGGGCATTAGTATTGAAACCACCATTGTTGACGGTAACATCTTCTGGAAGTGGGAATTCTTGCAATTGAAGGTATATACAATCATTACTTCATTTTAATATTATTTTATGGTTATTTATTTTAATGTTGAACATGATATTGGG